AAAACATAACAGTTGGGCGAATCACAACATTTTAAATAATGCGGATTTTTTCTCTCTCTCTCCATCCGCATAAAGAAGAAACGAAAAAAAAAACAATTCAAATTATTTACCCAAACAAATATTTGAGTCTCAATGCACGTACCTAAGTGTTGCCTATGCATGAATTCACTTAGGTTGCATATTTTATAATTAAATTTGTTTTATACGATTATTGGCAGTTATTATTTGTGTTTTAATGTTTGTGTAGGTTGTTTTCGGTCGACCGATAGAAGACACTTACAATCGAATTTTAGCTTGCTGGTCACCTACTTTGGTATAATATAAAGGGTGATCCATTTAAATGGTGTTATGTATCAACACTACGTTTAACTTAGAATAAAGGTAGTCTTTATATGTTAACGATAAAATTAGACGGTACATGGTATGTAGGCGTCTAATCATTTTTTGATATGGAATTTATCACTATCTCCTGGTCTTTAAAATTATCGGAAAAATAGTAAAAACCACTAAAACTTTGAGGAGCTGTATCTCACATACCAATCAACGAAATATAAAAATTTTAATTCAAGAAAAAAAAGGTTTTATTAATTCATGATATTTCTATCATATGTTACCATCTGATAATCAAAAGTTGATAGTGGTTTCACCAATATATATAAGGGTGGAAAAAATTTAAATATTATACGGTTTTGGAAAAACATAAACCTAGAAGTTTCGAAAAAAAAAAATGAAAACGAGTTCTTACTTAGTAATACTTTTTGAGATAATTAGTGTACCCACTTAAACGTATCACCCTGTACAATGGCTGATTTAGGTTGCATGATTTTAGCTTTATTTGTTTTATATGAGTGAATTTAAAATTTGTTGCGATCACGTCCCTAGCTCTAAAATCTGTAAATCATTAGGTCTTGGATGTACGAATAATTCAATTCTTTTTTTTTAAATTTACATGAATAAAAAATATAGTGGGGGATATGACAAGCAGTCGAGCATTAAACAAACGTCACTGTATTTTACATCGTATTTTTTAAGGTAAAATAATTATTACGACATGCGTATTAAACAAAAAAAATAATTTTAATTTTTTTAATTTGTTCTCTAAAATAATAATTATGTATACTCCAATGTCATACACACATGTGCACACACACCAGCACAAAAATGTATAGATAGGGATGAATTCATTGAATTGAATTTCCATTACCTCTCTATATACACTTAAATACACAAACATGTGATATTGAATACATAATCCTCGAGAGAAATGTTTCATGATGATATCAAAATATTACCATCGAAGATACTAATCCAAAGCGCTGTTTTAAGTTATCATATAATGTATTATATTTATATGTTTATGTGTGTATGTATAATATATAATATATATGAATTAAGTACAAACATTAAACATTAATTTTAATAAATTACGTTAAAGTATGTTCATCAAATTTCAATATTAATGTAGAAACGTTGTATAATCGGTTGTAGAATAATAATGTATATTTTATGTTATAGTATCATGTCCGCGGGTGTTATTATAATATGGGAAGTTAGTAGGTACTATAAATTATACTACTCAAAATGAACAATATTTACGCATATATAGGTACCACTTGTATTATTTAAATAAAAATGACAACAATTTGTAATATTGAAAGACAAAATATTATGCAGTGCATTAAAATAACAT